CTGGAATTTTTGCATTTACAACCATCTCATTTTATTTTGAATTGATCAAGCTATACACAGACATGTTTTACCTTAATGAAGGTAAAATTAAGGAGTGAAGGAGTTCTCCTTTGAAGTGTTTCAACTCTTATCTTATTAGATTCATACTTCCTGTCAATCACCCAGGTAAATGGCTCATGAAAGTCTTTAGGCTCTGTTGTTTAGACTAAAAGCCAATACATACTCTGAAAGAACAGAGAAAGGTGTCCTTCTCTCCCAGGCTGCAAAAACCAAACGCCGTCTTTCTGTTCTTGATGCACATTCTGGGCAGGACATTTTTTTCTTGTGTTTGGCCCACTTTACTTCTTCATAATTATGACTTGTCTTTGCTAACAAGAACTTTATTTATGTAGCCTTGAGTTGAATTAATTCCTCTGTTCTTTTGGAGAATGTTCAGGCCTTAACTTGCATAGTCAGGTTTGTGCAGGTATTGTTTCAGGAATATAAACTACAAGATTATTCTGTATTTAATTTTGCTACTTGACTTGATCCAAAGAAAGAAGCATCATTAATGGTAATGTCATTTAGTGTTCAAGTGTATGGTACAAAGTCAGAAAATTCAGCTGTTAAACGTTTATTTCCAATCGATATAATTATGGGTTTATGGTACATTAGACTCATGGTTTATTATACACACGATTGTAGCTAAAGAATATATACTCTTAAGGAAATCTTGACAGCAATTTAACATGCAACACTTAGTATGCATTCAATAAATTTTAGGAGATATTTGAGCAGAAGGTCTGGTGAAAGTTAATCCCTAAAAGGACTCCAAATTTTGTCCAAAAAGCTGTGGACAAAATGCTTATTTTATCTTGGGTGACTTTGGTATCACCTGTAGACTTAGACATCTTTGGTGAGTCTCTGACTTTATCCAGGTTGTTGTTTGTTTTAAAGCTGTCCTAAATGTCAACAGGAATCCCTGTTATCTGTTAAAATCAAATAAATTCATGTAAACTAAATAAAGTGGTTTTAGCCTAAACCTAATCCTGTTTGCCTCTGTGGTTAGAGTCTAATAAAATATTGTAGTTAACATATGTTAACGCAGATGTGTTTTGCTTGTGGTTTTCTACTGAGTATGCCAGAAGGTATGTTTACGAAACTTTTGCAGCATGTTAACTATGTGAAAAACATTGTTTAAACCCAACAACTCCAGTCTCTGATTTAAAAAGTCCTTATAGGTATCTTGTCCAACTAGTCAGAGCAGAAGAGTGGCTACCTTGTGTCTGCAGTGGCATAAAAAAGGCCATTTATACCAAAACATTTTCAGAATGTGTTTTGGGTGACAGAGTAGTTTAGGGCCAATTATTTGTGTTTCAAACAATGTCAGAAATGATCGAGGCTACCAGGTTGTAGTCAGACCAAGTCTTTACTTATTCGGAACAAAGACCAAGTTCATTATAAGCCAGGGTTCAAGCAGGACAATGAAACAGTCGTCAGTGTCATGTTTTTAAAAAAATTCCTATGCCTGCTTAGCCTGACCTGTTTAACCTATGAACGCATGAACATCTGTCTCAGTTTTCTGGTATCTGGCGTTTTAATTCTGTGGCTATAAATGTTGCAATAAATAAACAGCCCAGAAACTGTAGCCATCACCTTTTTAAATTATAGGTGATATAAACATCTTGTGGAGATCCTCTATGTAGCCATCTATAGTCACTAGTTTGCATTAAAAAAGGACAAAATCTGCAGCCATTTACCTAAACCATAGTACTCCATAAAATAGACTATTTTTGATTAAATAATTACTGTAAAAATACTTGGAAAGAGTAAAATAATAAAAATTAAATATGGTTCTAAAGTAGCTCTATCTGGTGAAAATCATTCAGTTTGCAGGTTTGAAAGCCACCAAGAAAAAAATATGAAAAGCATGAATGAAAAAGTTAGTGGTACTTTTCCTTAAAAAAGAAAAAGAATGATGAATGTCACGAATTTCTAATTTCAACAACTTCTAAAATAATTCAAAGGTATATGAATGGTGCTTATGTGAATTTGATGAGGTGACTTTTAATTTTTACAATTAATATTTTGGTATAAATTTTATTCAGTATTTAGCTATGTACACTCATAATTATGTTTGAATGTATAAACAGGTTGAACCTTTGCTGCAAAGTTGCATGTCGTGCAAAACAGTCGTACGTGTGACAGCTCAGGGAACAGCGTGAGTAAAAAAGGAGGTTCATTTGTGAATAGATGTGACATTTCTGCTGAAGATTTGTCCATAAGTTTGTTGCAGATAAACTTATGGACCTAAAACTATTCCCCATCAGACCGATGGCTAATTACAATCTTACAAAATGTTAAATTATTTCATTTGAATATTAGGTTGTTCTGATTCACATTTTCTCACTTTCCAGACACACACATGCAGCTATTTTTTAAGATAATTCTTTTAAGTATGTAAAGTGTTTTTTTAAACACTTCATTACTATGAAATTATATTTTTATGATACATTTCTCCACAGAGGTTCCCATTATTTTTTTAATCTTCCCTCACACAGATATTATAAATTTTGAAATACTACGAATATTAAGTTGGGCCTACTCTATGGATGTTTTTCTTTTGGCCAGTAGAGGGTGCTTGTGTGTTACCATCAGCTGATCTAGACATCTGCTGTGAAGTGATTAAATTATCAAAAATTACTTGGAACATTGATTTCAAGATATGTATGCCATGAAAGCATCTAAAAGTAAAACACTTTACAATGCAGCCAATCTAAATCTAACACGTTCTAGAACATGTGCTCTGTAAAATAAACAAAATGCTGCCAACACTGACCCTCATCAACAACAGTCAAGCTTTTCCCATTACAACTTCTTTGGACTAATTTTCTCAAATTACACACAGGAAGAGCAAAACAAAGTGTCAGCTTATATTTCAGGAAGTACAATGAAAGAAAAACTCATTCAAGTGCCCTTTCTTTACAGAAAATCTACAAGCTACACTAGTTAATTTCACAGCACATAATGGAGACTGGATATATAGGTGTGTGTACGACTGAACTACATCACCCTCAAACCTTTTTACAGCTTGTGATGAGATAAGTCTACATGCTGTGTAATAAAAATAAAACTAATTGCACTTATTGTTTAGACTGAAGTACATGGACCTAAACTTGACATGAGAGGTCATGATTTAACCAAAACAAACATTAAAATCACAAACCGATCATTTGTTCTTGCTCTTTTATAACTGACCTATAATTATGGTCTATAGCAATTCTTTAATATTTAACATTTCCTGGCAATGTTAAATTGCCAGGAAATTATATCACTGTATTTTATTATATCACTGTCCCCGTCAGTGATATAATACAAGTTACAAATAGTCAACAAAAACTTTTCTTTCAGGGTTGATGTTGTGTTTTGCTCGGCAGAACGTGGCTTAGCACAGTCAGGAGACGGAGCAAAGCCAACTAAGACTATAAGTAAAGTCAATGGGAAAATTAACAAAACAGAAACACGTCTGTTTACAAAGCCACAGTGACTATATAGATGAAAATTAATTGAATTGTTAAACTTTTACATGCTAAACTTTGTCACAGTGGTAAAACCAGAGTAGGCTACAAATATAACTTCTGACAAAGTATTACGCACATGCTATCGCAAATAGTCACAACAATGTAGCTCTTCCAGATTACTTCATTTATCAGATTTGTCATGTCTTTGTAAAAAATGTGTTTAAATTTATGCTTGACAGTTTAGAGAATCAATGGGTTGCATTTAAAGGCAATAAATTAAATTGATACATCTTTCCTGTGATTAATTTGATATATGTCTAATTCTAAGACCTGGTGTTTTAATAATATGAGCAGAAAAGCAACAATTATTCCTACTATCATTAAGCAATAATCATAACAGAATGCTTATGTAAAATATATCCACTGTTTTTATATACTCAGACTTGAGCAAAAATACAAATACGTTTTTAGGTTCTTAACAAAGCCAGTTTTACATTTTCGTTTTGCTTTTAGTAAAAAAAAACCCAACAAGCTGCTATTAGTTAGCCAACCCTTTTAATGCTTCCAGTAACAATTGTTGCCTTACATATTTTTTTTTTAAACCTCTGGAAAAAGTGTTGCTCTAGTTTTGTGTAGCTAATTGAGGTGTTAAAATAAGTTATTTATTCTAATCAATATCAACTTCATGTAGCGAGCGTGAACGGTCACATGGTCAGACCCTTTTATTTCCTATTACTGCTGAAGGTAAATGTCCGCCTCAAACTTGTACAAGAGGAAGTGGGTAAAATACTTTAATGAACTGATTTACCTGAAATGTTTTGTACATATATTCTCTAAAAGATCTTCTATTAATATGAAATTTTATGTCTGCATGCATCTTTTGAGCAAAAAAGGAGAGAAATGTAAGAATGGCGATATTTGTTGTCGCTAGAATTCCACATTGCTATGCTAGGCGCCAAGAGTTCGGCTGTTTATTTTATTTATTTCGTTGGCTTTTTCCACACAGCTTAAAACTACTAGATGTTTTAGATCTTTTACACCTGAAAGAACCCCAAATTGATGTGTGCTACGTTACAATCATTTCTAAAGTTAAAAAGGATACAACTGAAAGTGACGGTTATAGCGACTGCTCGGATAGAGTTTCAAGCCGAAGCAGGCCATTTGCCTGCTAGACTGTTGTATGGTGAAGCAGAAGCGACCTAACCGAATAATAATGATGATATTAATATAATGAGTCTGGACCTACCCACAAACTTCCTCCACTCACAACCCATCCGCCCAGTTGCCCCTGTCCCTCATCTCTCACTCCTGCAACATTTTGTGTTGCAAGAAAACCATCGCCACTACTTGGTGAGTCTCCCACAGCATCAAGGCAAATGAAAGAAAGTTCCCTGTGATAAATGAGACCACGCGACCAAGAAAAAGATGCCCTGAGATCAATGATACCCCAAAAGGCCATAAAAAAACAGAAAATGACCTGTGATGATGGTGAGTCTCCTACAGTGCCAAGCCGAAAAAGAAGGTGCCCAAAAGATACTGATGTCCTACAAGAAAATGCCCAGATAAGAATGAAACTTTGCAACCCAATAAAATAAAAAAAAACATAATCCACCCGCCCCTTAAGTACTGGGTTTTTAAAAAGTCACAATTACCAGCCACATCCAATATTTTAGAGTTTGTGACCTATGGCCCATCGCAGATTTCATTAAAGAAACTAAACTCGACCCTGTTGATTTGTTCGTGTTGACATATCCTTCTACTCGGAGGGAGCTCTCAGTTGAAATGTAAAATGCCTATTCAATACAAACCAAAGGGAAGGTACTTGATCTGGACATGGATGTGATTCTGCCCACTTCTGGCTTCAATGGAGGTACATGTATTGGTCATATGACCATCACGTCTAAAGTGAAACCATGTCAAATGCAACAAGCAACCGCTTTCATGAAATGATGGTCCCAACTCATCTGGTGGATAAGTTAAAGGCAGCAGACAACCCTTTCTACAAAATGCTGCCCATCTTCAGTCCACTGAGAGATTCCTACAAAAATGATGACATACACATGACTGCTATCCATTGTTGATACTCTTATTATGGCAAACAAGGCTGCAAACCGTTTATTTGGGAATTTGGGTAGAAGTCATGGAGCCTTGTTTTACCCACAGTGTCCATGTTTCACATGGAGCCCTATTGTGAAGTCCACTCAAATCTTCTTGATGTGAATGTAGTGCTTGGTCTGGCAGAACAGGCAGAAGTTCCTCCAGGGTGGTCATTTGTGCATGGTAACCTTTTCACTTCACTTATCCTCACTGAGGAAATGACCAAACAAGGTTTTGGATCCCTTGGTCCATTGAGACACTGATGTCTGCATGATGTGCTATAATATGTTTATGTATCTAAAACACTTCTTCTACTTATAACCATGCTTTGCTATTATAGGTTATGCATGTTATTGTAATTCTCATTTTAAATGTGCGTAAAAGGGGCAAATTAAAGTTACAAAACTATGTAGTTTCCCACTGGTAACCATTGCTGCTGAGTGTAAAACCTACACCTTCACTAAAAATACCAACATAAATGTTTTTTAAAAATCTAATATGCATTAGAGAGTTTTAAGGATTGAACGAACGCACTTATTTTGCGAAGAAAAATGTAGAATTAAACATGTAAATTAGTCAGGGTATCTACTCAGGTTGCCAGGCAGTAGCCTGCCAACTATAGCTTTAACATTGTGACAGATGGCAATCCTTTATTTTTCAAGTCATGAAGGGCATTATTTTTTGTGACTCAATAGCTGGAAGCAGTTGATTATTTTTTCCCTTGTGGGAACGGAAAACGTGCAGTAGCCATCTCGTGTGGCTATACTTACCCATACAGGTGTGGGTAAGTATAGCACTACTGCTGAGCCACGTGTAGCTCATAATATGCTGACAGTCAGCCCATCTCTACTGAGTATATTAACTTACTAACTTCATATAAATATATGCAGCTATTGTTTTTGTATTTTACAAAACAATAGCAATTGTATTTTTGTATTTTACCGATTTCTGACAAATTCTTTATCGTATAATTTTTTACTGCATTTTGGGGGAAAAAACATTACGATATTGTGTATTGTGTGATTAGTATAGTTACCTTTAATTGTGTTTGAGACAATTATCAAGCAAAAATCTAGGAACTGCTCAAATCTTTGACCTCAACTTGGATGAAAAACTTCAAATGATCTCAGATCTTCTTGGGTCCTCAGGAATCTCCAATAAACGACATGCTGAGCTCTACGGATCTTTTCACAAAACAAATGCACTGAGGTTGAAGAAAAACAGTGAAGTTTCTCTTCTGATTTTATTAATTTTTAATTTTTGAATTTAAGCCCTACTGACGTGTGGGATTTAACATTAAGAGTGGAAATTCACCTTTTTAGATTTAGGTAACTACTGACTTTTGATGATATTGTAACAAGCTCAAAATCTGAGATGTTTAATTGATAGTAATATTTAAAATGGTTGGGTATTTAGGCTGAAAATATTTTGTGGATACTGAGCGTTTGATAAATATGACAGCATGATATTAATAATTTAGTTTGTATGCTTTTATAAATTCCATATAAATGTCTGATCAACCTGTTGACATGATGTTGGTGTCCTACGTTGCAGGTGTTGGAAACCAAAATCTCCTTAATGCATTATTTAAAAAGTGGATCTACTCTCACAAAAGAATAGCAAATTACCACATCTGGGTGAACAGGATGTATTATGTAAAATGAGTTGGGTTGTATTGCTTTTTGGTGTATATACTGATGGAAAAGAAACATGTAGTTGGAATAAGGACCATAAAGCAATAATAGTGATCATCTAAAAAGATCACATGGAGTGCTTTGATTCACCAGGACAAAACTTCTGCTCTCAGCCCCTGTGATCACATTTGTTCAGGGAAGATCATGGAGTGAAGACGCTGTCTCAGGTTGTCTCATTCCTTGATGTCCACCCCAGCGAGAAACTGTGTGCCGTGTTGTGTACCACAGCTGGAGACTTGACCGATTCCTGCCAGGGACCAGATGTTCAGTCGGGATCCTCTTCAGGAATGTGCCAGCACTTCACAGCTGCACACCCAGAGGCTCAGTGGTTCCACGAGGTGCTGAGCAGAGAACAGGTTGTCTCTTTGGTTATGATACACTGCAGGACAACTGGTGTTGTGGGGAAAGTTTTCTTTTTGCCATCAGTATATATCAAGACTCGGCCAATGCTGCAAGAATATTCGGATCCGAGGCAGGACCTTGATATTATTGTAATTAATCCGTGTATTTTAACAAAGGGGTTGAAACAGAAAGGCATCAACAGCCCTCCACTCCCATCAAATATTAAATAGATGTGCAATTCTGGCAGTTTGATCAGCTGAGTGTACAAGCATCAACACTAGGTACGTCAGTACCTACTTGAGTTTGAGGAGTGATCATATAAAAAAAAATGCAAAAGAAAAAATATTAAAAGCTGACCCTGGTAAAAAAAAAAAAATCTCAAAAAAACTTCAGAAAAAGTAGTTTGCAGCAGTCCGTGTGTGTATATGTAAGAAATGTGTATGCTGTAATGTATTGAGTAGAAAATACTCAAAGTACTTTGACACAGCTAACATTGCTGTATTCATGTCATCACTTGAGAGCAAAGTTGGCTTATTGTCATCCAACTTCAGCTTTTCAACACACCCCCTCCACGCCGAGGTAAAAATGGTGCTCTGCTCCAGCGGAGGCTTGAATGTATAAACGAACTGTTACTCATCCCTGAGGCTAAGCAGGAGGACAGCCTTTCACTGGTGCAGACAAGTCTTTCCTCCACCGTCACAAAACTCTAATTCGAACAGTGTATACCAGATTTATGTACCATGTGTAGAAACAAACTCTTCCTGCTCGAAAGCAGCTGCCCTCTCAATAGTCAGCCGAAGACTTTCTCCGTCCATTTTGAAGAAAGAGAGATGTCTACTAAGGTTACTGGAAGCGTAAACAGCATAATGTGAGATTTTGTTTATCAGGAAAGCTACTTTGAGACGGCATGAACATGGGGAGTTTTAAAATGCAGACGCTACGTGTATGCAGTGAAGCATCTAATGCAACAAAAAGCTTCAGTTGCACTCGGATTGTGTTTAAATGTAACCTCAAAATATATCAGGAAAACGTTGCCAGTTGGTGGCACCAGGTTGCTAAATAGTAAATACCTTCTTAAAAATATACTTCATCAAAAGAAGCAACTCTGAAAAGAACAGAGAATGGCATAATTATATAGCATAAAGAGGGAGTTTAAGTTGCAGTCTGAAGTTAAACGTCATTAACTAAACATTTATGTAACCTTTTGGGAACTGGACAGGAAATGTGTCGCCCTAATATTGAAGCCTTAAAATGTAAAATATCTTCTAAAAGCATTTACAGCCCTCAAAACTTTTCACATAACTTGATTTTTAAAGTTTTTCACACATAAAATCTAAAAAATATGGCATGAATTGGTTTTTTTAGTCCTCGTGTCAATAATATGTAGAATATTCTTATTGTGGTATGTTACAATAATTGTTTAACGCCTAGAAATAACATTTATTTTCCTAATTTGAAAAATAGCTCAAACTCAGTCTGACTGGATGGACGAGGTCTGGATTTAAGTCTGGACTTTGACATTCATTTAGTAGTATTATGTATTGTAAAACTGGTGATAAATTGTGCAAAAAAAAAAATGTTCGTACTGTAAATATTTACTGTATGTTTAATTTACTTTGAGAGCTTTCCCAGGCTTTTTGTATGAAGTGTGAGCTTCATAAATGCACAAAAACCATACAGTCACAAAAAAAAAAAAAACCCATTGTCACAATCAAGAACTAGGAAAACTGCTGCCAATTCTGGCTGAAAGTGATTAGTGAGGGATGTTTAACATGCAGATTTTGTGGATAGATTCATTCCTAGGGCTTCCAACGAGCCAGCAGAAACGTGCATCAGGGATCTGACCTTTATGTTGTGAGAACATGTTTACTTTTTAAACTGAAAACGAAGCAAGAGAGTAGCAATGTTTCTCATAAAGCAGCCGTAGAAATTGATTAAGATATTTTAAGAGTAAACGTGAAACACTGTCACCAAGGAACATTTTTGAAACGCAGTCAGCAGGCCTGAGCAGCCTGTCTGCACTTTTCTCTTGAATGAAAGTTAAACATGGGTGCACAATATAGAGATTAAATATAAAATCCTATTGCAAAACTTTAGGAAAGAATCTTGATAGTTTTACTGGTCATATGATGAGTAATGCTCCCCCCACCAAAAAAAAAGGAAAGTTGTATCCAACATGTGAGGTTTTGTTCATTGTTCAAATGATCCTTCAAAGTTGAGATTTATAGAGAGCTTGGGAGTTTAAATGAAGTTGCATCAACACAGAAATTCAGACATACCCAGGCATTTTGTTTTAGGGTTTACCTAATATGATGCATTAAGACTCTCTCAACACAACATTTTTGGTATTTAAATCCAAGAGCAACAATAAAATTTAACATACTTACCCAGAGCTGACCCCTGCTACTTTTCAGTCATCCATGAGAGTAAATGTAAATGTACAGGGAGTGTGTGTTTGTTTTATGTAGCCAATATATTTAAAGGGAAGGACAGCTCTATAGTATCTGAGGAGGTGCTTTGTGCATGGTGAATAAACTGCCTGAATGTGTACGAGTACTGAGTGGTACATACACGTGGTGTTTAGGTTAGATGACGGTATGGAAGTGGACTGAACATCTGTGAGATTGGGGTCACAGGTTTTAGGAGAAGCGGACGGCTCCTCCCGCTCTGCCTGATCTTCCTCCGCCTCCACTTCATCAGCAACTTCCACAGCTTTTCTTGCCAACCTCTTAGATGTTCGGCACGAGCTTTCAGCCTGGAAGGAATATTTTAAAACATATCAGCGTCAAAGATCCCATCCATTATCTACAAAACAACTCTTTAACTCTAAAGCGCTTCACCTAGTCTAGGTGTTTACTCACCTTTGCTGCAGCTTTTCTCTGAGGTCGTCCTTTGGATTTAGGCACCTTAGGGCTGGAAAGAGTCTTCATGGTGATAGCAGCATGCTGAAGGATGCAGTCGGTGCCACAGTAAACCGAGTCCGGTAGCGCTGGTTTTGCGCAGCCAGGCCCAGTGCAGAGAGGGAACGAATCATCTGCCTCCATCTCACACTGAGGGTCAGCTTCCGCTTCAGCTTTTGTTTCCCCCTCAGCTTCAACTTCAGCTTTTGTTTCCCCCTCAGCTTCAACTTCAGCTTTTGATTCCACCTCAGTTTCAACTTCAGCTTCACCTTTTGTTTCCCCCTCAGCTTCAACTTCAGCTTTTGTTTCCACCTCAGATTCAGCTTCAACTTGAGGCTTTATCGCAAGAGCCTCCCTCTCTTCTTCTTCCTCCTCCTTCTCCTCTACTAAAACAGCCTCCTAAACACAGATCACCAACTTAAATGCAGACTCATTCAAATTTGTTATACTTATGCTAAATCTTAAAATAAATCAGAGCAAAATTCAAAAACATCTATCATTTTCATTTAACTTCACTCTGAACCTTTTGTTGAATGGATAACAATCCAAACTAAATTCAAACCTTGACAACTTGCTGCTGCTCCTCTTGTGGCTCCGTTTCCACAGCAGGAGGACTCAGTGTCAGACATTCAGGAAAGCTAAGGTCTGGCTCAAGGTGCGACTCTAGGTGGATGATGCTCTGCCTCGTCGTAGTGCAGGTTAAACACATGTAGTCTTGGTCTCTCTCCTCTGTCGTCCCGTCCCACGTTTCACTGATACCGACACATGCGCTATGAAACCACTCCTGGCAGCTGCTACAGCAGATCATGAACCTGAAAAACGGACGTTTTCAGGAAGTGAAACAGGCATAAAAAAAACAGGAATGCAAATCTCTCAGCTAAGAGACTTTGTTACCTCTTAATGTGCATTTGGCTGCAGACGAAGCACGTGGCGTTGGAGTCCTGTCCCTCGCTCTCTGTTATGCTGGAAATCTCTGCTGTAGTCTCACCCTGATTGTCTTCCTCTCCTTCCACCTCATCTTGTGCATCATCAAACTGGCCGTGAGTTATGGCGCCACTTTGGTTAAAATCGCTGTCTAGGATTACGCAGCCTGTGCTGACAGACTGCAGTGCAGCATTCAGAGTTATACCAAAGTGTGCAGATGTTGATTCCATCTCAGGAGGGATCTGTGGGTCGATCTGGATGCCATCTTTGGGTAAATCCTGCTGCTCGTCTGCGTTAACAAGCACCACTTCATCGTCTGTGTCTTCGTTGACTGCCATGATGGACTGAAGCACCGCTGCCCTGCCTCGGCCTCTTCCCTTACCTTTCCCCCTTCCTCTACCTCTTCCCCTGCCTCTCCCTCTCCCCCTGGCTTTTCCTCTTCCACCATTCCCACCTCGAGCTTTTGAGTCTCCCTGCCTGCTGCTTCTGGCCAGCTGTTCTTTAATTTGCATCTGAGACTTTTCATCACTGTCCTCTTCCTGACTAGAGATCACCACAACATAATCGCTCTCTCTTTCTCCGACAATGGCAGGAGCAACAGGCTGTGTGACCTCCATCTCATCCAGGTTATCAGGGGTCTCGTTTTCTTCTACAGGCTGTGGATCAGTGAGCTCAATTTCATTAGCAGGCTCAAAGAAACTAGGAACTGTCAGGGCATCTGTCAACGACAGGCCTTCGTTGCCACCAAGCAGTGAGAACGCTGTGTGGAAAGCAGAGCCAAAGTCCTGCCATAAGCTGGGATCAAAGCTCCCTCCAGCAGAGGTCTCTGGTGGCTCCTTGCTGTCCTCTGACGCAGGGGAGGAAGGGGCAGACCACTGCAGGTCCTCTATCACACTCCTAGCGGTTCGAGTAGCTTTCTGCTTGGTGTCTTCTTCTGTGTTCGTCTCTGGCGCCTGGTTGGTTCTTCGGCTTCTGCCCCTTCGAAGTGGTGGGGGACTGTGGGTCAGGTCTCCGACCTCCTCCATGAACTCCCGTTTAGCAATGGTTGTCCTTCTGAAGCCCCAGGACTTTTTAACCTGCGACAAGGACGGCCTTGCACCGGAGTCCACCACACCTGATTGGCTCTGTTCATCTACAGGGAAAATGAATGACCAAAGTAGAACCAACACCGTGATATTTTAGCATTTTGCTTAGGAAACTCATCCACGTACCTGTTGTACCTGAGTCACCATCGTCATTAACTGCATTGGTCTTTTCTACTGTGTCCATGCTGACATCAGTAGCCAGCAGTCCTGTTCACAAACAATTTAAGCAAAAACACCGTCTCAGTAGCAGTATTATACATCAATTTCTATCCATTTCTACAGACAATTAAAACCAGTTTTTTTTAATCTACTATAAGGAAATAGAGTTCTAGGAGTCCAATAAATATCTACAAATAGGATGTAAATTTAGACTTATTTGGGTTTGACCTGAGATCTTACGCTCATATTTCCTGAGTTAATTGTGCCTAAGAGGATAAAAATATGAACAAATTGAAAAAGGCACTTTTATAAACTTTACAAAAAAGAAAATTGAAAACAAATCAAGTTACATTACAGGCCTGATTTGAGCATTTCTATCAATAAATATTGCTATAAATTATGAAAAACACTCTACTGCAATATTAATGATGTGATACTGAAGTGAATTGGTATGAAGTAGTTTGTGGAAGTAGGAAGAATAAAATGGCAACACATGCCAAATGAGAAGAAGAATTGACCTGGGCCAGGTTTCATTTTGGTTAGTTACTGTGACAAAATGTTTTTTTTTTATTTAAATAAAATATTGAGAAAACAAAAATCTGAAAGTAATACTCATGAAAATTGATTATTATAAACAAAAAATGTTTTTAAATAAAATCTACTTACACAAGCCTAATGTTTTTAAGATAACTTTCCTTTTTCAGGGAGGCCATTAAAAAAACTGCTTACATCAGATGAAACATAAAGGACAACTGAGCTCTATTTTATAGGGAAGTGGTGTTTTTAATTTACCCCTGCAAAAATACTAGCAAAAGTAAGTAAAGATGTCCAATTTTGAAAAAATATCTGGTAAACTTTCATCTGTAAGTAGGCAAAGAATCTGCATGCTGCTGTAATCTGTGCAAAGCTGGCCTTTCAGGTTTAACCCCAAATGTGCATTCAGCATAAAAACTACACATAATGATAAATTTTGTAGTCTGTACTTTGAATACACGTTATAACCTCAATGTTAATGTTAATTAAACGTTTGACCCTTGTGTCTGAACTACATTTCGTCATGTTATTTACCAGAGCAGAAACAGTGTGGTGCTATTTGTTCATATCCCTTAACAATATTAAAATGCATTCTGAACGTCGATAACACTAGTTAGATAAGTAGTAATGAAACTAGTCTTCTAAATTTAAATAATAGACCTCAACCAGAAATTGCAAAAATAAAATCATTTATCTGCTCTCTCGACAACATTATTCCGTTAGGCCACAGGGGAGAATGGCTACTAGTTAAAAGCGTCCGACGTTGTTGTCTGTAGCTAACTTAGCTAGCCGTGACGGTGAACTGGTAACAAAGAACTACATTTTAAAGCTAACTATATTTGATAATCCTGTCTGCGAACACCAGAAGCAGACAAGAATACAATACCTTGAAGTATATGATACTGTTTTCCAGTAGTTGTTAGATTCGTTCAGCTACCATGCTAGCATGGGATTCCATTTTCTTTGCCCTACTATTTGGAATCTCGCGAGATTTCGCCAGAGGCGGAAGCAGTGTTGACGCTGCATCCATCTCATTATTGTGAGTGAGAAGTGTACCTTGGAAAGTGATTGTTTGCTAACTTAGTTTTTCGAATTAAATAATCTCTAAAAGGCGTGTTCTACTTAGTTTTATTGATAGTAAAAATACATGCAATGTAATGTCCATTTTATTTGTAATAAAAATAGCAATGTGACATTATTACTAAAAGAGCAAATCACATTTTAAAAAAATATTTGAAAGCTTGGAATTTATAAATTAAATCCTACATTGTGCAACCAAACCTGATTAAGCATAAGTTATAATAGTTACTTGTAATAAGTTATGCCTTGCTTTGTAAAAATCATAATGTGAAACAGTTGAGGTATTTTTGATGTAGAACATTTCCTTTTTCAACAGAACTGCACATTAGCACTTAAATCTAGCTCCTTAAAGATATGCGTGAGTTCGGTGGCAAAAGTAAGCCACCGAGTGAAGATTCACTCCATAACACCAATGGAGTGAATCTTTGAAATGAATTAAAACTGCGGGCCATGCCTTTTAATCACACATAAGTGTCTGACACCACTATTGCGCTTCAGGAAAAATGGTCAAAATTTTATAAAATTACCATTTCATCTTGTGAAATAACTGCCAAGATATATTCTTCTTTTAGGCCATATCTTTTTTTTTTTTTTTTTACATGTACGTTGGTCTAAAGAGTGAGTCAGCATAATTTGAGATCATATGGCTCAAGAATGGCATGCCAGTCAAGTCAATATATTTAAAGATAGGTGGACAAATATTTTTGGCAATATCCAGCGTTTCTATTTCTTACAGCAGCAAGAGGACATTCAAGATAAATCAGCATGTCATACTTCAAATAAAAATTTGTGGAGTGCCTTAGTTCATAATTGTCAAAACCCTTCCTGTGTGACTGACTTAAATAACTTCTGTAAAGAAGAGTGGCTCATAAAAATAGAATAAAATGTGTTTGTGTTTTGTGGCAGCCAAATGTGGCTCAATCTTTTACTTTTGAGGAAATCGTTTGTCCATATATGGTTGTCTTCTTTTGCAAACTGCTCTTTGAATTTCCTCAGTTTGGTAAGTTGAAACATTTAAGCATGACAGGGGGGAGGGGGAGAAAAAATACATTTGTACTTTTCGTTTACATTTTCATTCTTCATGTTGTAAAATAGAGGAATCCAACAGCCACCAAATTACCTGAAACTTTGCCATGTAAATAACTCGCAGTTTGCTTTTGTTCTCACAAAAATAAATAAATGCTTTTGTAAAATGCAGCAACGGCGATGCCAGGGTGCTCATGCAGCTTCTTTGCTTCTTGGTTTTATCACCAATTTACAATTGGATGATCAGTAACTTATATATTTGCAACACTGCAATAGAAAGAAAATGTGTTTTCATATCCGTTCAGATCAAATAAGTTGAGAAACTTCTTCACAAGTCCATTTATTCTTTTTACAATATGTAAACAGTAACAAGACAGAACTCAACACAAACATGCTCACAGGAAATATATGGCTGAAAAAGCAATATATATTTATGTCTACTCAGATGGGCACATTTTTGGATTTACATCTGCTTTGGGTAACTGGCTACACAAAGACTTCACTAAGAGCTGACATTCATGTGAAGAAGTTTCATTTCAAATAACTTTTCTCAACACATAGAAATGTGATTGCAATAAACATACTATAAAAACATGTAACACTATAAATATTGTTCAGGTATCTTCTTACAAAAGCTGTACAGTTTAAATTTTTTAGGCTTTTTAATAAATCAGATTTTGTTTTTTTTTTGTCCATTTTAAATGTGTGGCTATATAACACAGAACTACAATACAAAACTGGTATGAAACCAAAACGCCACCACTGACATGAAGCAGACATGTTGGACTGAAATGTGTTGTTTAAACCTGCACTACTCGACATTAAGCAAGTGTGGTTCAAACCACAAAAGGAAAGAAAAAAATAAATCAGTCTAAGTATTTGTGATGGCACCATAATCATTGTGTATAACTGTTGAAAGCTGTTTCAAATGTTTTATCTCACAATATGGAGAGCAATTAAAACAGCAGCAAAATCCTGTGGAGCAGCAATGAAAGAGGGAAATGAAGAGATTATCCTGTGGGTTGATATAATCTGAGCAACAATGCAAAACTGTAGAATGAAAACATTTCACATCTCGAGACAGACTACTTTCACATGATTAACTGACTTAAACGCAGATGTGGAAACCGAAAATGAGAAGTGAACCGAAAACAGTCCAGTGACCACATATACAAATGGGAATGAAAGAGAGAGAAAGGAAACAAAAAAAAAAAAAGTGATTTGTCGTCAAGGTGCAGGACTTGCAGCACCAACTTCGAGGCCACCTGCCTCACATTCACTCCACCGATGTGTCTGTAGTGTATCAGTTAGGTCACAGTGACACCAGAGCTGTCCTTGTTTTTGTCAGTGTAGGTGGGAGAGTTGCTTTTGTCCGATATCGAGCCTGCGGCTGAGGGAGCGGACTGCACAGCGGGAGAGTGCCCCGATGGTTTGACAGACGGCTCCGAGCTGGGCTCTGCCTCTGCTTCCTGCTGGGATGCTGTGGCTGGGGAAGAGCAAAAACCAACATGAGAGGAAAGACACGGTTCATGTTTTGACAGTGACTTTTTAACTTTTTGTGCAACACAAAATCAAATCAGGCTATAAAATTGATTTTAAACAATTCAATTTCCTTCCGTTGTCAAAGGGACCGTGCCAATACACACAAAAGCGCTTTACAAAAGCAATCATAGCTTTTGAAATTTGTCATTTTGTCAGGTTACGACCACAAACTTATATACGTGATTAACCCCTTTACCTCAACTGATGCCTCTAAAATATAATCCACTGCAACCAGCTGCCTTTAAGTCACCTAATTTGTTTTGAACCCACCTCCGGGGTTCATTAGAGAAACACAAGTGAGTACGTGAATCAGGAGTAAAGTTGGAGAGAAGTTTAAAGTTGGATTAGATTATAAAATAATAAGCCATGTGCTAAACGTCAGAGAGCCCATCATCCTAAATTGGATAAGGAATCATAACTGCAAACCTGAAGAAATGGTTTTGCATCAATCTTCAGGTTCTGAAGAGCATTAATCACAGAGGCAGCTAAGAGATCCATGGCAACACTGAAGGAGCTGCAAAGATCCATAGATTATGTGGGAACATCTGTTTGCAGTTTAACTCAAGATGCATGGGAGCAAAACTGAACTCGTCGGTCGACGTACATAAAAACAACAGCAAAATTCTGGTGGCAGCCTTATGTTGTGGGAATATTTTGCTTCATCACATGGAAATTTATGATCACAATGTGAAAAAGGATACAAATACTTTTGCAAACATTACACATTAACTTTTTAAACAAGCTAAGATTGCTTGAAAGCTGCGGTAGCAACAGATGCTACGCTTTAAAGCAGATTGGAAAAACAGTAAAATTACTTAAAACTGAGAGAATTCTTGTTTTACCCGACTGTGTGCAGGACTTCATGTGCTCAGGCCAGTGTGCTTGCTGACAGGGGTAATCACAGTAGCTGGTATTCCAGCAGCAGTAGAAGATGGCCTCCTTCCTGCAGTTGGCGCACCACTGTTTCTTTTTGGTCTCATCCACCGCCTGCTGCTTCTCCAGCTCCATCTGTTTTTTCACCTCGGCCACCAAACGTTCCCGTTCCTGCTCAAGACTCTGCCTCATCTCCGCCATCGTCAGCTCTGCGTTCAAGCGGTAAGTTCAACATGAAACCATGCTAACGGTCTTAGAAAATAAAAGGTAATCGCATGATATCCATGCAGCCCTGGAAGCACAAACCTACCCAGATTATGCTTCATTTCTGATAACTCCTGCTGATGAAGCCACTGGAGTTTTTCAATCTCTATCCTCAGCCGTCGAATCTGTAGCAACAAAACAATCAAGAAATCAGTCGTGGTTAAAATAAAGTACAACCTGTTTAAGTAGGCATAATCAAACAATCTTTTCTTTTTAAAAGATCTTCAAAGTGCATAGGTAAAACATTTATTTTATAAAAGCACAGAAGCAGCCATTAAACAAAACTGTGACACTCTATAATTAACCGAGGTTAATTATAGAAATACACTGAAACCATTTTATTCTAAATTACATAATCCAGCTGGGACGTTTGGTCTTCTTTTCTTTACCACATTGCTTCACTTATTTGATGAGGTTTACTGGCATTCCCTCCTGCTATGGTCCCACCACAGACTTTGAGATTTGGACTTTGACTGGGACACTTCAACAACTCAGAATTAATTTAATCAGTCATTCTAATCTGGCATGTGTTTACATAACATGGCAAGTTTTTGCTGTATGAATAAAAAAAAAAATCTTAATGTTTTCACTCTAGAAATACTTTCATTTACAGAGGAGTTCATCATAGTTGACGCAGTGACAGACAGATGTACTTCTTGTCTTTCTTTCAAAACCCCATTTTCAAAACCCGACAAACTTTTTAAAGTATTTCATTGTTTTTGTGGCATTAGTTGTTTTTGGAGGCAGAGAAGGAAGAATAAACTACATATTTTCTTCCCACCACTAAACACGCAAGACCTCCGAGCCGCACCAATGAGAGACGGAGGGATTACCTCTGCAATTGTATTTCCTGATGTACTTTTAGAGAGATCGTTGTAGATTTCAGTCATTGTCCCTTTTATTGTGTCCATAATCTGTGAGAAAAATGATAAAGTTATGCATTTTAAATCCCTGCAAAGCAAATCCAGAGAACAGAGCAGTAACTTTATTTAGGTTTCAATATTTGTCTGTAAATATTAGAAAATGTACATGAAGGAATCTAACCCGTGTATTAGAAGTATTATTAATGGGAAATGTGACTTACTTTGTTGGTGTATTTGGCGATATCTGCTGCTACATCTGCTGAAACTGTGGGGATCTGCAAGTCTGCTGACACCAGAGACGACGCAGCAGATGTGATCTGTCCCGCTGTTGATGAGGAGCTCTGAGCTGGGTCTTTTTGTTGCACTGCAGTTGACAAAGATGGAGAAATGTTAAGAGAAATTAAACAACCTCAAATAGTTGTACAAGTTTTGTGATGCATAATCCCAGTGGCGTTTTTATATTACCTTTAGCTGCTTGTCTGGTCTGATAGCGAGTGCTGGAGGAGTTCTGCTGCGACTGCAGCTGCTGGCTGCGCGTCTGACTCTGACCCTGCGCCGGGACACCCGACTGCTCTTCGTTCTGCTGCCTCTGGAGCTTCTGCACTTGCCATTTCTGCGACGACGTCTGTAACTTGGTGGGGCTCCAAACCACCGCCTGCTGCACATGCTGAGCCGTCTCTTTAGGAAGAAGCGGCCGCTGTTTTTTTACAGTTGTGGGTGCTGTGGACGTTGTGGAGCCAGAAGGTGGCGCAGTGGTAGATCCGCTGGTGGTTGTGGAGGCGCTGGGCTGACCAGATGCTGCACTGGAAACGAGGTTGAGCGCTGCTGTGATGGACGGCTGCAGGGAGTCCTTCAGGTTGGCGGCAGCATCTCGTGTCGGCGTGGCTGATGCAGCAGATGAAGACAGCTTGCCTAAACAGAAAGCAAGAATGAATAACTAGGACTGCTTAATAATCCACCACACAGTCTGGATTTACAACATCAGCGTTTTAAACCCAAAACGATGTGAAAAAGCATTACAATTAAACCCCATTTGTAGAAAGTAAGATGTATATTTTCTCTTTAATTGAGGGAGAAAGAGATAATTTTAAAAAAGGAACCAAAGAGTGAATCTGAAGTCACACTGTTGCATTAACCTGGTTTGGTTTGCATTGTGCATATCACTTGACCAGCATGTCTACACATTTCAAGGATTCTTCCGAAGTTTAATACGCAACAATAAATATTTTATGCAAATTTGCGATGCAGACAGGCAGGCAACATTGTGGAAGAAAATTACACTTTCCCATTTTTCCTCCCAGGTTTAATCACAGAGTTTGAGTCTTCTTCCAGGTTTTCTCCAAGTTCTGCCAAATCTAAGACCGTTCTGATTTCAAAGTTAAGACCCAAGTGGAGTATGAAAAATTATGATTTCTGGCATTATAGCAAGCTTCACAAACTTCAATGTATTCCTTCTGTTCGTCGTTTTATTTATGCCAGTTTCTTCTTTATTCAGCCCGCAGTTAAAATTCCAGTTTGAAGCCAAGCCACAATAAAAAATAATCATGCCCATAAGCTGATTGTAGATAATGAAACGTTAAAGTGCTTAAACATGGACTAAGACAGCTGCAGGAGCAATATTCCTTTGCAGGGTTACTGCAGAGGCTGAACAACTGAGGAGAAACATTCAACAGACCTTGTTGTGTCTGGGCATCGTGAGATTTGTTGCTTTGGTACAGTGTAATAACATAAATAAAGATTACTAAACTAAGACTAAAAAATCCTGTCTTTAACAACAAATGACATTTAATTTTGAAGACTATGGAACCAGTAAGAGTAAAAATTGTTGCTCATACGTTAGGGTTGTGGCTAAAACGTTTGTCCGAAAAACAGAAAATGGTTTGCATTTTCATGAATGTTTTAAACTAAATGAGATCTGCCACGTTAAGGAAAACCATGGAAATCGCCGCTTCTTGCAATCATATAAGTGCAAAAAGCATTTATCTTTTTGCAGATTTCTTTCTCTCCATATTTCTCCTAAACTGATAAAGTCCTAAACTTATTTTTATGCATTTTAACAAAGTAAAAACCAATGCACAAATAAAATCGGCTGAAAGAAAGAACAGAATTTGGCTCTGAGGAAATCAAACACCAACTAATGGTAGTCTCTTGAAAATGTTGTCAGAGAATCACCTGAAAATCATACCTACAAATCCAAATGAACTTATTCTACCAAAGATAGTTTTATACCAACATATCCAATGAAGACATTCCAGCATCACTGTGAACATACAAAAAAAAAAAAAAAAAAAAAAAACAATGAGCAGCAGAGCAGACATGATCCTACCAGTACTTCAGTTTAGGCTTATTTTTAACTTGTATTTTGTCTTAAAATGCGATGGAAACAGAGCACAACCATAAAGTGGACAAAGCCTCACCTTCCACCTTGGCAGTGCTGGACTCTTTTGTAGTTTTGGCAGCGGCGGAGCTCGGGTCTCTTCTCTGCCTCTTTGCGTCCCGTCCTCCATGTTCGTCGCCCAGATCAATGACGAGCTCCCTCTCAGAATCAGAGTCCTGTTCAGCCGATGCAGCGGCTGTTTTGCCCTCCTCTGGCGGTTTAGGCTTTTCAGTTACGGGTTGAGACTGAGGTGTCCTGGGCTTGTCCTGCAGACCCCTGTCTGGACCGTTGCAGCCCGGCTTCTCTTTGAGCAAAGGCTCGTGGGCAGCGGTTTTATCCCCCGTCGCTGTAACTCCCTCCTTACCCTCTCCCTCCGCGCTTGCCTTTGACTTTTTTCTTTCTGCCTTCTCCTTGTCCTCGTGTGCAGAGTTCTTGGACCGATGTTCTTCATCGCTGGGATATTCGCTGTCGCTGGAGTCAGATTTCTCTGAGTCCTCAGAGTCGCTGTGGTCCACATCTTTATAAACATCTTCAGATATCTCGTTAATACCTGTGCAGGCAAATGTAAAGTTCACAATTATTGTAGTAAAACACAAAAACACACTATATTGTATCACTGGACTGAATTGGACTACATGTAATTGTCTGAACTGAACTCATTTCTATTGTAAAGTAGCTTGAGGTGATTGTTTTACATGGGCACAAGATACAAAGACAGAGTGTCAGACTACAGAAAACTGTTGGGCAAAGATGATCAAAATAATCATTTTTATATATTTAACAAATCCAAAACCAAGGCCATGTTTCAAACAGTCATAAAGTACATCTACATTTACCAAGCTGTGCTTTGCAGCTTTCAATGGTCTTGTCCAGACTCCTGATGGGTCTCTTTGGAGTGGCGACAGTAGTGGGAGCTGCTTGTTGTTGCTGCTGCTGTTGCTGCACAGTCTCACTTAGTTCCTTCAGGTCCATTTCAGCCTTCACTCGATCTGAGTTAAACACAAATTACAGGACGACGGTCACGGTAATCACATGTGACCGTCTTGTACATCCTTCCAAATCAGTCAAAAAAGATGTTTGCTGTATTCCGATGGGATTTTATGCGATAAATCCAAACAAGATAAGTGCATAATTGTGGTGTAGAAAGAAAAGTGTACATGGTTTTCAATATTTTATTTATTTATTTTTACAAAACAAAAATCTTATAAGTGATGCCTACATGCAATCAGCCTCCCAGAGTTCCAGCAGTAGGTCTTATGGAGGATGCGTCTATTAGCTTTCCACATGTAGACACCGGCATATTTGCTCATTCTTCTTTGTAAAATTATTTAAAGTCAGTCAGATTGGATGGAGTATGACCATAGACAAGTCAAGTCCTGTCACAGTTTCCCATTTGGTTAAGGTGTGTACTGTGACTGTGCCATTCTAAACTTATTTAGCTAAAATAAAGCCTCATAACCACAACAACAACAAAAAAAAGACAGAAAGACATGACCAAGTTTTCCATGTTTCCAACAGACTGAATGTGATTAGCACACATGTTAATGATACATGGACTGTATCATATATTTCTGAACTTAGAATTACACACAGCTTTACCAATTCTACTATTTCAGAAATTAATCAGGTGACTTCTGAATGCAGATGGCTGCACTGGATTTCATTTGGTGGTATCAAAGTAAAAAGTGCATGTTTTTTTTAAAACATGCACTACTTTGCATTGTTATTAAAATCTCAAATACCATCAATATTCTGGTTGCGATATGATAGAAATTTCAAGGGACCTATACATTCTTACTGGGTTATCCCTCATAAATACTAGTTAATGTGCTACTGACCAAGGTTAAGGTTGAGGATGCCTCCGGTTCCTGCTGTCCTCTCCTGCTTGGGAGCCAGTGCAGAGTTTATGGGTTTTGGACTGCTGCTCACACTAGCAGCTGGACCAGGCTTCGCCGATACAGGAGATGCTGTAATTAAAAGATTTTGCTAAATATTTCAAAAGCAGTAAAATCGTCATCATGGCCGCCAAAGAAAAAGAAACTTGAAATATGATCTACCAGTGCAGTCCATCGATTCCTCTCCAGTGCTGTAGTGTAAGGCAGGGTTCCTGCTCGGCTTCTCGGTTTCTTGCTCCCCATCGGACCCCGTGTGGACCGAGGAGTTGGTGCTCATTGGAGACCGAGGCATTTCCATCATGGAGGCCCGCCGGCTCATCCCGCTGGGCGTAGAACTCTTGCTGAGGATCATCTTGGGAGAGGAAGTCATGTCAAAGTTGAAGCGGAGCTTGTCTGGCTTCTCCGTTTTCACCGTCCCGGAGTTGGGGTTGTTAGGGTCCATCAGCATCTGCAGCTGGTTGTTGGGGGTGTAGGGAGTGCGGAAGGGTGCGTAGTTAAAGATGCCAAATTTCTTGCGGATGTTTTCCACGTAGACCTCCATCTCTTGCATGGCGCTGTTGAAAATGCTCTTTGTTTTCTTCACAGAGAAAGGGATTTCTTTGGACATCAGGTAGCAGTTGTTGATCGGAACCCAGGCGCTGAACGGACGGCGGCAAAAAGAATATGAAAATCAGCAACTTAGAAAAATGAATTAAATCGATTCGCAACAAGAGCCGTTTCTCTTACCGATCATGTTGCCCAAAGAAGCGTGCGTCTACCTGACCGTCCTTTTCTCTGAGTGCTTTTGCCGGCCAAAAAGGAAAACCCTTCAGCTTAGCCCAAACCAGCGGGTGAGGCTGACTCTATTGAAAACAAGGAAAAGTAATTCAATATGCTTCAAATGTGTAAAACACTCTGTAAATATGGTATTCAAGATGAAGCAAAGACCTACACATGGCTCACAAAACCAGTTATCCCTTTTTTGGCAAGAAGACAAGTAGCACTCCGGACACACTTCAATCTCATTCATCTAAAAATGAATTTAAAAACAACATTAATGACGCATTACTTATTTTTATTCTGTCCTTACCAATTTAGAAGAGGACTTTTACCTCATGTTCACAGATCTTGACAATGACCTTTGCAGTTGCTGTTAATTTATGATTACCTGAAAAAAGAAATTGTAGTAATTTTATTTTTCTGTAGGAGTTTGCACAATAAAAGGAGAATTTATATATATTTATAAATGACAAACCTCCATTATAGATGATGCAGTTGTGTAGAATCCACTTCATATCAGCAAGAAAAGCCTCAGTGCAGCCATACATTTTCTTTTTCACATTCTATCAAAAAGGGAATAAACATATTTACATATTTAAGGACGATAGAACATTTTAGTGAAAAAAAGTAGCATTTGGTAAAACTGCCCCTTGCTTTGGGTGTTTAAAAATGTTAGTACCTTTTCTATAGTGCTTAGGTCCATAGGGTGGAAGATGTACTCTGCATAATCCGGATGCTGTTCCAGTGACACGGGTTTCTGAAACGGCTCTGTCTGCTCATTAAAGACAAGAAAGTGACAACTGTTAAAGCCTGAACTTTGAAACAAATACCTCCTGCAGCCACAGCACCTTTGCAGCCACGTCCAAGACGCAGTTAAAATAAATTCAGATTTTATCGCAGTAGCATAATCCCACACTGAAAATTTTGTTGCAAGATTTTGAAGATTTTTTTTTAAAAACCACCCTGATCCAGACTCTCACTGGTGGGCAGCAGATAAGACAAATTTATCACTTTGTCACATAAAGTAATGGATTATTTATTGAAAGATTCTCGATATGTTGACCAAATTAAACTTAAATTCAAAGTGTTTTATAGGAATTTTTGTTTTAAAGAGAACTAAAACGTTGAGATTTTCTGCTCTATAGAGCGAGAATACTCCAACAAAAGACTGGACTTGGATTGGTTTCTAAATCGTTCAGTATGAGATCATGCAACTGCAGTGAAAAGAAAAAAAAATTATTAAAAAATTGTAGCATTTTTTTTTCAAGTATAGTTTTTCCCAGGGTGCTGTTTGCTACAGGATTTTCCAATATTATTTCAAAAATCTGTGTACAATACAATACAACAAATAAAACGGCTTCCTTACCCCAGGCTGTTTGATTTTTTGGAGTGCAAATTTCAGTAAGTAGGAGAGTTGGTCTATCGTTAGCATTGTCATTGCTTTGCTCTGGGTTTCAATGCACTCAGCAACTGTTATTTTCTGAAAGAAGATAAAATGACGACAAGAATTATTGCATAATCTTAATAATAATAATAAACAAGCAAAGTTAAACTTTATAAAGTTTATTCCATAAGTCATCTTAGTTGTACATCGTAAAAAATAAACTAAGCAGGTTTTTTTTCTGTAAATCCCCAGTTCATGGTGTTCGTATAGCATCGGGCTGAAAGGCCTGATGCTATAAGAAAATCAGAACTTGAACAAACTGAGTCGCAAATGCAGAGTGTAGCCAGGGAGCATCACTGACGCCCATTCCCAAAGGTTAAAAAATAGTAAATAGCTTTAGAGTAATGCAAAACGAATTATTTAAATGATGACTTTCAAATAAATAATTCAAATTAAACAGGAATCGTCAAATATGAAAGTGGTAAAAAAAAAAAAAAACTGATTAGAGACGAGATATAAGAATATAATTTTGATATTCAAATTTCATTACTTAACATTGCAGCATTATCGTTTTGTAAATACGCAAGCTGTAGTCATAATATCAATCAGATATTAAGTATTTGTCATTTTGAATTTTATTAAACAGTTGTCCAAGTTTTAGGAAAACTAAGAAATAGATCTAAATAAAAAAAATTAACAAATCTACTTTCACACGAATCAAGCAGCTGCTTTAGCTATTCTTTGCATGCAGAGCAATTGCATCTACATTTATACCAAGCCCAGCTCAAGGTTCTTTCATGTACAGGTGCAAGTCAAGCAATTAAAATATAGTTAAATATATATTAGTAATTCTATTCAAAAACCAAAACCCATTACACACAGTGATACATTTCCAGTGTTTATTTCAGGTAATTTTGTCGATTATGGCTTGGAGGGTAAAAAAAAAAACCTCACAATCCTCTTGAAGCTGTGGGATTCCCACCACACCTCTTTCTTCCACTCAGTTTTTCATTCAAATGCTTCGATAGAGAAGCGTTTCCCCAACCTTGGTCCTCCAGGCACACTGCCCTGCATGTTTTAGACGTTTCTCTGCTTTAACACACCTGATTCAGATGATTGCAGTTCAGTAAAAGCCTGACAATAAGCCTAACCTGAAATTAAGGGAGTTGAAGCTGGGAAACATGCAGGGCAGTTCGCTTTAGAAGAACCTGGGGCGTAGCACAGCTACTGCCTGCAGGACTATAGGATAACTTTTAAGTGAATCGCCTTCCTCGTGTTTATGAAGGCCACCCTTACCGGCTATAATCATTCAAATAACATCTGAAAGTATCAGTGTGTGTGTAATGAATTCATGTAATTACAAGTTTTTACTTTAGGATGATTATTGATTGAGCTGCACCTGAACCCACTTTTGTCACATTTTGTTATTTTGTGCAGATTTTCAGTTCCTGCGGTGACAGGATGATGTACCATGGTGGGCCATTTGTCTCCATGTTTCGGCCTGTACCACAGGCTGAAGCAGGTCATTACACTGATTTATGTCTTCACTGGGACACCTCGTTTTTGTCAGCTGAGCCATGCTGAGTCTAACAAGCATCTGCCTACGCCCACACCCACACACAAACACACGCCGTCCGTGCGATACCTCACACTCTGGACAGAACCAGTCGCCCTCGGGCTCGGCTGGTAGTTTGAGGCACTTGGCGTGGTACACCCTGGGGCAGAGCTCACAGCAGAGCACCTGACCCTCGCGGTGGCACAGCCAGCAGTAGAAGTCATTCCTGCCGTCCTGCGGTACAACATCAACAGGGTCTGTGGTGAGTGCTGGCTGCTTCATATAGTAAAAGGGACCATGTCTTAGCTCTGACTGAAATGCAGGCAAGAGAAACAGGGGGCAGGTTTCAAAAACACGCAGGAACACAAAAAAAGGTGCAGTGCAACAGAAACAAGGTAGTATTAAGGTGAGGCAAGCAGGGTAAGCGGCACAAGGGATAATAAAGGCAACAAAACCTACACAATGGTGCTTTTTGCAAATAGGAGTACAATAAATCAATTCTACTAAAACTGGGCTTCCCTTTTTAAAAGATACATAAATGGTTTGATTGTGCTCATGGTGAATACAAGTGATAAAATTTAACAAGTGTCAAACCATAAACTATTTTGCCAAAAGTATTCATTCATGCATTCAAATTGTTGCCATCATGGCCACAGGTGTTTAAGATCCCACATCTTTTCAGGCAGACTGCTTGTACAAATATTTGTGAAAGAATGGGCCGCTCTCAGGAGCTCTGTGAATTGCAGCAAAGTTCAATAACCTGCACAACTGTAAAAATTTCCAGGCGACACAGTTAACTTGCAGTGGTTGCCAATAAGTGGCTCATGTAAAACTCAAACAACAGTGAGATGGTGAAGCATTCAGGGGATAAAGGTCAAATTTTCGGAAGAGACACTTGAGTACAGAGCACCAAATTTCATGTGGCCTTCTAATTAGCTGAAAATTGTGTGTAGAGAGCTTCATGGAACTGGATGAGAAGCTGTGGCCTAACCTTAGATAGCCAACTAACATAATGAGAATCAGTTCCTATCACTTCACAATGCTCGTTTTGCACAAACCTCCAAACTTTGTGGGGGGAAAAAAAAACTAGGGATAGCCCCTTCCTGTTCCAACATGACCGTACAGAGCAATGTCCAAAAATGAGTGAGTTCACGGAGGCCAATCAAGGAGTTCCTGACCTCAACCTGATAAAGCTTCGCAAGCTAGTCCAAGCCGCAGAAGGTGGGCAGGCATCGTGTAATCTCTATGGATTAGAATTGGGATACCACTCAATGCCATGCACTTCAAGGCATCTGAACAAATACTTTTGGCAGTATAGTGAATTTAATGACATTCATATTGAGACAAAATATGCTCATGTCAGAGTAAAAACCAAAATATAAATAATTAAATACAATTTTTAATGCATTGCTATTGATCCGCAGATCATTTTTGTTTCTCTCAGTTCTGCTGGTTGAGTTCGTTTACATGAGGTTTATATTGATGTTCTTTCATGTCAAACACCTCTGCTGACTCTCTTAGGAAAATGAGGGACTGGGCTACATTTCTTCAGTGACTCATTTCTGTTTGCATTCCTTCCGCTACTTGCAGCACTAGAGCAAGTACAGAGAAGTCTGATTCATTACTGTGAGGAAACCTATTCACCTCCGTGGGCCTTAAATGCAAAGAAAGTACCACATAACTCAAATAGTTCAACTGGATAAATATTATATTAGCATGAAAATTACAAGTTCATTAGCCAACAATTATTACACTCCAAACAGTCCTTTGCAGTGCGAGTATTGCACACACTGATATTATTATGATATATATTGCAGGCCTAATCAGCACATTAGACAACTACAAGTGAACTAAAAATTATTTGGATGTAATCAAGATTATATGTTTGGTTTTTGCTCTGAGAGAAAAAGATCTAGTGGCAGGGACTGGTCTAACAATATTTATGTTTTAAAATGTTACACAACACAAAGACACTTCCAAATTAATGAAGTGTGTGTGTTAAAGGGACTCCTGACGATCTCTTACAATCCGATAAAAGCAGCAGGCCATGTCTGAGTTCGCGATGAGCCTCCAGGAGCCTTACCTGGTCTTTGTTGTTACAATTCACGGCTCCTGGCTTTTTCTTTTTCTTAAGAGGGCTGGGGGAAGTGTCAGAAGGAGAGTGTCCATTGGAGGAATGGGTGGGACTGGACACTTTTCGCTTCTGTGGTGCTGCTGATCGTTCCGCTGAACCTGGTGCATCAGGTGCTGAGATGAAAAGGCTTGTGTCATTACCAATTGCACCACTTGTGGTATAAAAGTAGACAAGCTAGACCAAAAATAAATTCACAAATGCTCCAATAGATCACTTCCATTACCCCGGAGTGCTGCAGTTGAGATTCTACTGATTTTGCAACAGTCAGGCATTTCAGATAAAAAATCATTTTAATATCAGACAAAATTAACCCAAGTAAATAGAAAAAGTACATAAAAGAGTTATCCAAAGCAACCTGGCTCTATATAAGGATATTTAATGTCAATTCTTGTTAAATTATAAATATAATGAGAGTAACCATATTTTTGGGTTCATCTTTACTTGCTACACTCAAGCCTGCCTGAACTGCAGAACCAAGGAAACATGTTAAGCAGAGCAGTAGGCTAAATTGTTTCACGAAGCAACACATCATGTCCTGCTCTAAAGAAACACAAGAACACATTAGAAACAAAGTCATTGAGTTAAGAGGTTAAGGTTGTATCAACCATCCAGACCCCTCAGGTCTTCTGGTTCTGGTCTGCTCTGCATCCCCAGAACCACAACCAAACGAGGAGAAGCAGCATTCAGCTTCTATGCACCACAAATTTGGAACAAACTTCCAGAAAACTGTAAAACAGCTGAAACACTGAGTGCCTTTAAATCTTGGCTAAAAACCCATCTGTTTAGAGTTGTATTTGAAACGTAATCAATTACGAATTTAATGACAGCTCTTGACTTAATGTAATGTTTTGATTGTTGATTCTATGTTGCATGACTTTGTGTTTTTGATGTAAAGCACTTTGAAATGCCTTGCTGCTGAAATATGCTATACAAATAAAATTTGATTGATAAAACAGCATATTAAGGATGAGAGACTCCAGGAAACATACACAAAAACCCTGCCAGGACTAATCCAAGAGCACAGCAACGATTCATCCAAGTCACAAAAGAGCCCAGAACACAATAGCTTCTTCTGTTAAAACATCGGTGCTTATGACTCAATGTAAATGAGACTGGGCAAAAATGGCATCCATGGGGAAGTTGCAGGGACAAAACCACTACTGATTTTGTTGAAAAAATAAAAATCCATCCAAATCTAACAAAGATGTTGATGCATGACACATTCGTGGTTGAAAATCCTCCAATGTGCTATTCCTACTAAATTAAGAAAATTCTGCAAAGAAAAGTGGAATAAAAGCCTTCCACAGTGTTTGAAGGTAATCTCTAAGCTTAGAGAGCAGTGACTATTTCAAATAGACACAGTTTAGTTTGGATAGTTAAGGTGAAATAATTTTGAAACTGCATTTTGTATGTACTTGGGCAAATCTCTCTGATATAACTCATTTGATGATTTATTACATCCAAGTACAACTAACAAGGCAATTAAGGAAAAAAGAAAATCACAGCCATTTATGTCCTAATAACAGGAGCTAAGCAAATATTTTAAATGTCGCTAAATAAAGGAATGCCTGAAATCTTTGAGTACATAAATTAAAACATTAAAACAAATGCCTAAAAGGCTTCATCTAAGATAACTAGGCTGTGTGCTGATTCCTGAAGGAAAAAGCCATACAGTCATAACATATCACTGTTGCAGATCTAATGCCCATCAGCATGCATTAACCTCTCAAAATCCAGTAGGAAAATCCTGTTGTGTTCTCCGACACCGTCATGTTTGACTTCTGATAGGACATGCACGGCCTTAAGAGACTTACCTTTCGATCGCAGAGAAGCGTCCATCCCCTCTACCACATCCGGCTCTTTCTTTATCTCCTCCTCAGCCAGACTGCACAGCAACGAACACGAGCACACAGGAACACAGGAAGAGGGGCAAACACAGAGTCAGAGAGGGTGTTCAGAAACCACATCAGCGTTATCTGTAAACAAGTGGAACACCACCTAAGGCACTGGGTCCCAGAGGACCTGTCAACAGGGACTCTAACGGTTTCCACTGTTTTTTTTTTTTTAACATCTCATCTGACTTGAACGCATCTTTGACTTTTAATGTGACGTTCGAACCCTTTCCACATTTTCAGCTACTATCAAGTCGGAAAATGTTCTTTATACTCCAACAGAGAGACCAGTAGCAATCACCATGGCAACACTAATTTCACAAATGGATGTTCACAACATCACATAGGACCTTTCAGCCGACATTACCGTGCATCCGTGCTCGTCAGAAGATGTCACAGACGAAGTAAAATTGTGGCTCAACTGGGCCACGGCCTGTTTTGTTTACGACAATCGGCGAATAGACCTACGCTAACAAGAAATCCGAAGGGAGCTGGCCCATGCTACTGAAGAGGACAGCCTCTCATTGTAATTAACAGTACATGGTTCTACCACAATCCAAGCCCCTTCAGTAACAACAGCAGACTCTCTGGAGTGTTTAGGCCTTTTCTTGGAGACCATTCAGGTCATCTCAATATTCTTGAACAAAATCTTTACCAAATAATCTGTTTGGAATCCACCAACTATAGAGATTCACTTTCACAAATCCTGCTCAACATAAAAAAGTCAAAACATTAACCTCTGAACAAAAAAAAAAAAAGAAAATAATCCTCACTCCCCCCCGTATTTCCTCCTGAAAAGCATCTCGTTCCCTCTGTGGTTACAAAAAGCAGAATAAAAAGAGGGTTTGGCAATAAATGAGGGTCTTTGGCTCTTCTTTTGTCCAAGCAACACAGGGCCTCGTTCCAAGGATGTGCCCTTTATTCAAAAGACCAGGGAAAGAAGCCCTCCACAGAACCCCTGACAGGTCACACACTCGATCAGTTAATAGCTCTGGCTGCTGCAGCTCTGGTTTCCAGCTGAATGATAGGGTTTCAGTCTGCAACTCGAATGCCCACAGTTGTGGGACGGTTTTATTTTCACTTGGAAAACTAAAACAATCCTCTTTACGCCTCCAGACTCCATTTTTACAGAGAAACTCCAGACAAAGTTGGTTAAATTGCAGCCAAGCTGTGGATATACGATGGATAAAAATGTAAGCCCAAAAGCCTGAATGTGAACAGACGAGCCAAAAGATAAGATTTGATACAAACACTTAAACCCAGATATAAGGCAATCAGTCAGTAGTTACTTAAATTCCTCTTTGTGGTCCTTCTACAGCCCAAAGACCTAAACAAAATGAGCATCACTCAAACCAGGAGAGACTTTAAAAATGAAGCAATTAGAGAAAGTTTATCAAACTGAAATAAAAACAAAGTTTAAGATATGACACATGGAGATCTTGTTTCAGCTTGCCAGCTTTCTCACAAGCGCGCACACACACACACACACACACACACCCCTTCAGGGCCTTCCTGTTCCGGACTGAGTGCACAAACGAGGCCCACATGAAAATAAGAGACGTTAGCCGAGTCTCCACCACAGCCCTGAAAAGGAGAGAACGTTCGCCATTCTTCAGCGGAGCTGCACAACAACAACCTCGTTTTCAAAACCTTCTTAGAATCATTGTCAAGAAATTTCTGCAGCCACCGAAAAGACAAGATGAGCTGGAGTAAAAAGGTATCCAAAAGGGCTTTTTTTCATATCAGGAAATAAGATCCATCAAGCAGCAAGCAGACTTAAAGGCAAATAAATCCCCAGCAGAGAGTCAAGATATATTCCAGAGAGATCAAATAAAGAAAAAATTACACACACACACACACACATTTCTCTTCTGCAAAGTACTGTAGTACCTGATGGACAAAAAGGAAACAACACTGAGTCACTGCCTTCAGATTCCACTCCTGTGAGAGACGAGCAGGGTTCTCTCGTCACAGAAAATGGAGGCCACAGCTTGCTACCCTCCCCCCCCACTCTCCCCCATCCCCCACTCCAAGGCTGAGACTCGGGCACATCCACACAGGAGGACCAGCGAGAGATCTGTGGAGATCACAGTCCAACATTTCTGAAAAAATAAAGACGGTTGTGTCAGGACGAACCTTCATGAACCAATCACAGAAACAAGAGGGAAAACAACAGCGAGGAGACACGGGAAAATCCAGCAGGACGAGAAGCCCCGGCCTGGAACCCCCCCCCCACCTCTCCACCTCTTTCTGTATGTCTTCGATCCTCTTCCTTCTCTCCTCTGTGAACACCACTGTCAGAATAATTAGATGTCATTTTTTAGGAAGGAGAGACCCAGAATGTGAAACCACAGTCAGATCCCGATGAGCCCATTTCTATGCATGTCGCAAGAGGCTTGTTAAATTCCTAAATATCCGATACAAAGCAATTTCAGAGTACAGAGACGATCTATCATGTGCGAAACAATATGTTAGACTGAAACTCCTGATGAAAGCAACTTATGTTTGTTCCACTGGCTAAAAAAGAAGCAGCAAATAAGCATACGGAGCAGAATGCAACATAAAAGTAACAAGAAAACCATTTTTCAGCATTACAACCTAACTCAGAAGGTCCAAAAACACTGAAGAGACTAAGTTTTCCAACCCAGTAGCCACTAAATAACTAAATAGTTCCTACATTTGATAAAATAATGCATTTATCTGCAATAGAAAAACTTATCATAACAATATTCATTGCTATCATATACAATAAATCCTGTAGAAGAGAAAAATATTAGACCTGGATTTTTATATAAGGCTGTACAGGATGAATCAAAGATGGCTGTGGAATTTTCCAGAAGGCCCTTGCTCTCCCTGCCGTGCTCCCTCCGATTGTCAATCTTTAACCTCAGCTCTTGCTGCAATTGGCTGGAAGGCCAACAGGCTGGAACGCCATTGGTCGGCCGCACTGTGCCATACAGATCAGTGTGCCGGCTCCCCTCTTCCTCTTTAAAAAGCCTTTTTTGCTGCAATGCAGAGATTTTCCTCCTGCATTAGTCGGTTTTATTTTTCCCCTCTCGATTTAGCTTATTCCCCATCTTAATAACAACTGCATAAAACTCTAGAAAAGGGGGATTTTAATCAAGGATTTATGGGAGATTACATTTGTGCATGTACAACTGCGATTTATGGCTCTGCTATTCAACATCTGTCACCCTGTTGCCTCAGACGGAGGCCCAGATTGGTTCCCCGACTTATCTCACTACCAGTGAGAAAATTACACGACATGGTGTCGATACCCAATAATCAAGCAGGTAAAAGTTTGACTTTTGGTTTTGATTTTACAACGTGAATTAGTCGCAGGCCAAAAAAAACCCCTCTCTGATTGTAATGTTCCTATTTTCAGGTTTTATGTAGATCAAAACTGCCTCATGTCAGCCCACAAGAGAAAGAGATCCCTCTTTGTTTCCCCCACGCAGCTGAGATTGCTATAAGGGTGCTACATGACGTAACATGGTGTTCTGCCTATGTTCTGATAAATACAGCATGACACAACGAAGCATTTGCTTACATTTTGAGCAATCTGTTTCATAATTTTACATAAAATCTTTTTTTAAAAGAAGTCATTTTGAGATGTTTGAATATAAAATAACCTGTCTTACCTTCGTCCGACTTCCTACACTGAATCTCTAGTTGAAGACAAACCTAACTGGCTTTTTGTTTATGTGTTCAAAGCTACAAAAAAAAAAAAAAAAAAAAAAAAAAATAGAAAGCAGCAAGAGTAGGACGAGAAAAGCAACCTAACAAAGATTAGGTCCAATCACTGAAATTCTTCCTAAATCCTGTTCAGATGTTTAAATGTTTCATAATACAAAGATCCTCTTAAATCTTGTGTTGTTTCTTTGTCCTGGTGTCTGATCTGTAAAAGGGAGGGTAAAGTTCTTTCAACATGAGCTCTCTGAACACAAAATGGCCACTGTGTGTATGCGTGTATCCGTGAGCATGTGTGTGTATGTGTGTGTCAGAGTGGAGGAAGCAGCTTCACAGTACAGTTGAAGAAGTCGGGGGCGGAAGCCTCAAGGCCCATGACTCTAATAAGTCCCGTCTAGTGTTTTTCGGCTCTAAAGATTTGACTGGAGGGAAAGAGGGGTTCAAAAACAGGTTTGAAGCTGCAGTCATTCTTTGAGCAGTGTGAAGATTAGAAACTCCTGTGTCAAACAGAAAGTCATGCAGATTTCAGTTTCAGGATATTTTAAACTGCTCAAAGTTTTGCCCTGAACTACCTTCACTTCTTCCAAACACGTATGTTGCCACTTGCTCTTCCTCCCTGGGCCTGGCATGAGATAAGAAGTCAGAGGAGAGCAAGTATACTTGCACAGGGTACATAGTACCCGCAACCTGCCCATCCCCCTTGTTTCTCTGCCAGGCTACAACACGAGAGCAGAAGCAAGGAGGTGAGAGCGCAACTTTTAGATCAAGCTCTCCTTTGCCTTGTACACAGGAAAAAGAAAAAGGATTTGCCATGGTGGGATCTGCCTGCTGTATGGCAGCCTGGCTGTCTGGGGCACACATGTGACCCTGAGACACAGAGAGAGAGCAAGGGTGAGAGTCGTTACCCAACCCCCCAACCCTAAAAAACCCCTGTGGAGGGCGCAGAGGCCTGACGAGGCCTCCAGTCCAGCCCAGCTCCTCCTCCTCTTCCTCCTGCTGCACACTAAGCTGACTTTAAAGGTGTGCACATTCATCATGAGAAACCCCACAAGTCAGCACGACAACAAGAAAGGTAGCCATGTTGCTATCAGAAGGCTGAGATAAAAAAGACAGAGCTTACCTCTGTGGATGCATGGCTGCCTGACACAATGTTATGTCAACACTTATAAAACATGGAGGACACTCTCAGCCCTCAGCCGGGGAAGGCTCCGCTCTTCAGGCAAGGCGATCAGGCCCCGGCGATGTTAGCCAGATCCTGACTGGTCGCCTCCCTCGCAGGCGAGATACAAGGCCGCGCCTGATTGGCCGAAATGTTTCCTGAGTAATTATCTTTGTTCAGTGCAGGCAGGGGCAGCTCTGTGAGAGTCAGAGGCAGGGGAAGAAAAATGAGCACAGATCTAGGTCTAAATCCACACAAATATATGATTAAGAGGAGCATTTTTGACATACAAACCCTTTGTGAGAGTGTTCTGAAGCGTCCAGGAGGAGAATCTGTCGGCAGCTCTCTCAGTGGAGGATTAAAAGAGTGAAACTGTCAGCCTGTGGAGTGTTAGGAGCAGGACACCATGGCTTCCCTGAACAAGCCTCCATTTTTTATGTGGAGAGGGCCTTTGTTTAAACTCCTCCCTCCCACTCTGCTTCCTCTAGACTCGGAGAGGTGGGGAGGGGGGAGAAGAAGCCACTGCTCTGCACCTATTAAGAATGCAAAAGGGGAAAATTAAGCTGCAAGTGATAAATGATCTACACTGGCTAATACTACAGCTTGTTGTGAAGGGAATCAAATAAACTAACATGACATTTAAACATAATTCAATACAGTTACTGAAGTCATAACCTTGGCAACTAAAAAGGTCACTCAGAGGTAGGACAACCAAACAAAAATGTATTTATCCAACATCTGAATTATGATTAGCATTTCAGTTGCTAATGGTTGATTAATTAGGTTTTCCTGTACCTTATTTTTGTTGCCTCTTTGGGACTTCAGGACATTTCCACACGGCTGTAATGTTTGCTTAATGATGACATGGGCAAAAAAAGCATTTTAATGGGGGTGGGATCAAATGCATTGTAGATATAAATCCCAATAAAAACCTCACACTAAGCTGACAGCATATTTTGTGACAATATTATGCTCTGTAAGGGATTGGAGCAAATATAGGTAAATCTCTATAAACAAGAAAATTATTGAAAACTCCCTGTATTCCAGTAATGTAATTCAAAAATCAGCAAACTAATTACACAGAGTGATATATTTCAAACAGTCATTTAATTTAATTTTCATTACTATAGTCTACAGCTAATCAAACCCTCAAATGAAGTCTCTTGCAACAATACATGACAGTAACCATCCATTGTCTACACCCACTTATTTCAGGGATGTGGGTGGTGGGGGGGATGGTGCCTCTCTCTAGCTGTCATTCTTCGGCAAGAGGTGAGGTACTCTCTGGATGTCACTAATCCATCACAAGTACACACAGAATTAACCACCAACAACTCTCTGCTCATTTAGAGAGACTAATTTACATGCATGCATGTTTTTAGGCTGTGGAAGGAACCTGAAGAAGCCAGAGGGAACACTCAAACTTCATGCAAAAGGCGGCTGGGATTTGAACCAAACACATTATTGTAACATTTTAGTGCTAACTACTGTTCTACCAAGCAGCCCCTACATACGACCCATAAAAAGGGTGTTTTTTAAGTGAAAACTAACATTTATTTTATTTATGTATTGGCTAATATATTTATTATTCAAAACGTTTCAATGTCCAATGTTTATATATATTGGCACCATGTATTGTTTGCGAAGTACTTGCCATTATTTTAGGTTTTAATCACCGTTTGGATGTTAAACATTTAGTAGTTATTGTCTGTCTTAGGTTATTCAAACATTTCCTAGTTCTTCATCCCCCATAACTGTTTGACTTAATTGTCTTATCAGTTATTCTTTTATTAAATATTTGTAGTGCTTTTCTGGTTCATAAGTTTTCAACCTGAGAAAATAAGCTTTGTGTTATTGGAAAAGAGGGAATAATTGTTTGACAGATACTCCCAGAATTGTTGCAAGGTATTTAAATAACATGAAACATTAAAGAAATGAAAGACTGCTCCATAAATAAGAGGTTTAGTGATACCAGGTAAATCATATTATAGTCCTAATTTTTCTTCGTATCTAGACTAAGACAACTGAGGCCTGCATTTAAAGTTATAGGAAATGAAAAATTTGAGCGCCCAACGTGGGGCTCGAACCCACGACCCTGAGATTAAGAGTCTCATGCTCTACCGACTGAGCTAGCCGGGCTACGAAATTCATAAAAACAGGCGCTGTTTTTCCTTCACGTACCAGCAAGCGTTGTAACAAGCATTCTGTCTAATACTGCCCTCTACTGTTTACAAGCGATTCCTTCGAGTGAAATACCTTTATAGCAGAAATAAAATATAGTATATGCGCCTTATGTTCGGCTGTAAGTTTAATTTCACGACAAAGTACGAAAGGCTAATGAATGATCTTGTATTTTATTGATAAATAGTGACTCCTTTTCACAATAAACTAAGTAACGGTTGCTTAAAAATAATTGTGAGCAGTTAGGGTGCTTGGTAGCTAATTGTGCTAAGTACGTCTATTCCATAACATTAGATTGGCAACTTTGGACAGTAATGGGCTTAAAAATAATACATCTAAACTCATTAAAACATGTATGTTCATAAGTACTGAAATATCTGCATAAAAATGGTTTAGAATTATAAATGGACATACCTCACAGGCGACACCAATGTACTGTAATGCCAACACAAGTGCAACTTCCGGTCACTGTAACAAAGGACAAAAAAAAGCGGAGTGACTTTTCATAGCATCAATATATTTTTACTCAAATAGAAATAAAACATTGTAATCCAAAAAAGTAGCCAATAACTGTGAAGTGGAATGGGAAAAAAATACATTTTCCGCATTTACAACTAAAATCTGAAAAATCTTCCTGCAATGCCAATTCACAACATAGGCCATCTCAGGCTACTGTAGATGGCAAACAGGCCTAGTCCATATCCAAATCCATCCAATTTGATCCTAAGTGTATTCAGTTCAATTCATACAAGTTCTATTTAAACTACAAAAGGCAGATTTAAACTGATATTGTGTGCAAACTGTTAAATGTCATCAAACTTCTTATTAATGCAATACAATTACATTTATAAAAAAGATAAATGCCAATGATTTTTCCATCTAAGCAAAGACACATGTTTTATCAATTAGGCTCTTTGATGCAATCTCCCTTCTGAGGATTGTGGGTGACATTAGAGTTGGAAAAATACCATATGATGATGTGAAAAACCTCACAGGATCACCTGATTAATCTACTTTGACAAGTTGAGGTAATAAACAAATATGCACCAGGCTAGGCATACTTTTTTATGTGAAATAATTCTAAAGGAAGAATATGAAGCCATTGCCAGCAGTAATTCAAAATAATACAATGTGAGTCCGTTTGTGCTTCAGCAACAAAAACCCTCTGTTTTAAAGGAAAACTGCATCAAGATAACAAAAGACTACTGCAATCTTAAAATGATACAACAGAGCGTTTTCAGTCAGAGGCTTTTTCAGATTTGCTGTGATACCTACTGCTACATGATATAATTCTTGCACAGCAGCTAAGACAACTTTGAAGAAACTTCTTTTATTACATTTAATTTCCCTTTGGGGTGTACAAAGTATTTATGAATTGAATTGACAACTATTCTCAAAAAGGGTGGTCCATGTTATTACTCTATGATGTTTTGACATCAGAGTATGATGCCAACACAAGTGAATCATACTCTATGAAGTATGAGTATGATGCACTCATACATCATAGATGATTAGGACCAGATTAAAGTCAGAATTCAGATTGATTTCTCGGTATTCTGACGTTAATAGGTCACGTAAAATGTCACTTCAATCCATTATGACCCTCCTTACACAACTCACAGCTCTGTCATTAAAGAAGGACCCCATACATCTGAATAAAGTCTGAATTCTTAGAGTTAAAGACCGTTATCTCTTCACTTTCAAAAACATTAGAACGCAGAACGCGTACGTGAAGTACGTGACGGCATCACGGCGTAGGGTTCTCCTTCTACGTCAACGACGCTGGGCGGTTCATGAATGGGGTTCTGAAGTGGGAGGGCCCCTCATCTGACTTTAGCAGGCAGGAGGAAGAAAGTGGGTGTTGTGCTTTGCTGAGATGCTCCTTCATGACTGTTTTTAAGCAGCCCAGCAGCGAGCGGTTGTCTGTGTTTGTGGATTGTAGCGGAGGGATCTTCAACCCCCAGGGATAGCATCCTTCGGCTGAGACGAAGAGGCCTGCGGCCACAGCAGCACCAGCAGCAGCGGAACCAGAGGGAGGCAGAGTCGTGTCGATGAGCCATGGGGTTCCGCAAGAAGAACAAGAGCCCACCGGTGCTGAGCCACGAGTTTGTGATCCAGAATCACGCCGACATGGTTTCCTGTTTGGCCATGATCATCCTCCTCGGCCTAATGTTTGAGGTACTCGGTGTGTGAGTGGAGCTGTTAGCCGCTGCTAGCTGACGTTAGCTCACATGACAGCAGTACTCGGCAGCAGGGCGCTAGCGTGTCTCCTTCCCTTCTCGTGTGTCTCTGATTGCCAAAGAAGATGTGCAGGAGGCCCGCTGGCTCTCTCTGCTGATTCACTGCCTTCCACTGTAGCTAACTAATGCTTTGGTCAGCAAGTTGATCAGACTGAATGTCTGTCTGGAGGCTGCAACTAAAGCTGACAAGTACTCCGCCACGGTTGAATAAAACCAAATAGCTTTTCTCTCACTAACCTGTCCCCACCCCAGATGTACCCTTCAGACTTCTACGATCCATTTTTTAATTAAACTATTCTCATTATAAATGTCATTTGTACATACTTAATTTAAAATGCAACACACACAACCCACAGGATGTAACTGTGGCAGGAGTGATGCACCTCCTCACTTATTTACCCCTCCAGGCAGCTCCTGGATATTTCTATAGGTCCCAATTATGATAATTTGTGAATTCAGGCTCTTTTAGAGCCTGAATTCACATCACACACATGCTGCTAAATGAGCAGGCAGGTATGCTTTGACAGTTTCACTCGGTTGAAGGTAATCTTGACTATATGGTACAGTGGATTTATTGGATTTTGACACCTACTCTCATTCAAACTCCATTTTTTGATTGGTTTCCAATCCTTTCAAATGTTATGTTTTTATTATTATTCACACATATATATATATATATATATATATATATATATATATATATATATATATATATATATATATATATATGCAGTTAATCTACTAATTTGAGTAATTGGGATGGGTGGAAATGGGACAGAGAAGAAAATAAGTTTGATGAATTTTGAGTGACTTTAAACACACAAAACCCCTAAAATGATCAGAATTAGGCTTCCTTCCAGGCTGGTTAATTCCCCAAAGAAAAATATCCACATTGCACATATAGATGGGGGTACATATAAGCCTTTCTGTGTTTGTTTTTCCATCACCAAAGCTGAAATTTAAGGAGCTAAGATTGTGGAAAGATAAGAAAAGTGTTTTTATTTCATTGTCTGCCATTTAGGTTTTGCTATTATTTTTATTATCAAAAATTCCAGTTTGCATATATGGGATTATAAGGAAAGCTTCTTTTTTTCTTAAAAGTGACTTCAGTAACTAAAACCCACACTTAAGAAGCTAAAAGCTCAGAAAACTGTTGAATATTTATGTTTAGTGAGAACTGATGTTACTGATGACTTTCAAAGCAAATAGAGCACTTTGTGTTCAGGGAACATCCGTGGAGGATTTTATTAAAGCAGCTACACAGAATCGTGTCTAATTATAGTGATCTAAATCTGTCATGGTGCCAATTTGCTTTCATAGGGGGGAAAAAAACGTTTGAAAAAATATGGATACATTTAATGATACATGGCAATCTTTAAAAAAAAAAGAAAAGTATTTGGTTTGTACCCAAGGAAGCAAAGTAGAGCACAAAGGGATCTTAAAAAGCATCAGCCATGAAAACTGAAGCGATAAAACTAATTCCGATTATTTCTTATCACTCCAGGTCACGGCAAAGTTTGCCATCATGTTCATCACAGTCCAGTACAATGTAACTCAAGTTCTCGGTAAGATTGTTTGCTGCATTCCTGCTCGTTCCTGTTTCTTAATTCCGCTTTAATTCTCATATGTTTAGGTTATTTTTAATAATCGACTTTCCTTCTCTCTGCAGATGAGAAAAGCGAGCCAGTAAACCTTTACCAGTACGGCCCTAAAGATGTGGCTACAGTGTTTTTCTACCTGCTCATAGCAGTCATCCTTCACGCCTTGATTCAAGAATATATTCTCGATGTGAGTACAGTTAGACGACACTTTTCTCATTAATTGCTTATGCCTGAGGAAAAAGCTTTCCACGTCACATATATTTATATTTTTAAGTAACTCGTAAGGACTGATAGAAGCTTTATTCACCTATTTTTTCTTCTTTTCCCTTTATCCAAAATGATCAAAGCATGGCAGACTTTATTTTGGAGTGCTGTTTGTAATTGATCGACCTCAGTGCCTCTTTCTGTTTATGATCTAATGCAGAGCGACAGAGAGGATGCTCGTTCTTATTCCATGTCTGCTTCTCTAAACAATGGTAGTAGGATATTTTTTTAATTCAAATATTATAATAGAAAAAAATGGACCATGCTTTAAAGCGTACCTTCTCTCTTCATAAGACTGTTTTCTGTGTATCTATTAAAACGGCCATCAGATGAACCTGTTCACACTGCAGTAATCCAGCTCCTTTTTGAAAAAACCTTCTCAACACACTTCACTTCAAAGGGCCGATTCATGAGCTTTGTGACTGGATTTTGCTATTTGTTTGTGCCTCACAGAAATATGCATTGTACTTTGTTTTCAATGGAATGGTTTAAGATTGTTTTTTAATGTCACACCATTGTTATTAATTTTGGTTACACTGCTCTTGTTCTGAAAAACATGTTTGTTTGTTTTTTTATCAGAAAGAAAAATGTCCTCAGGTAGCTTTTGCTTTTTTTTTTTCCTTGTTAATTTGTGCTTCTACTATAACAAATGCAGTTGTTTCAAAAAGAGGCAAAAGAAACTACAGAATATTACATTTTAAATATCATGCATTATTAAAATTAATGAAAAGCAAAAGAACTAATGACACTGTAGGTTTCATTGGGGGGGGGGGGGGGGAGCGGGGGGTTTTTGTTAGATTTTGTT